TTCGACCTCGCTCAAAATCCCGTGTTGGCTTCGTTTCAAAACTCTTACAAAATATAGTTATTGAAGGTAAGAACCATAAAAGATGGAGTTGGGAGAAAATTTCCAAAATTTTATATTGCCATTTCAAAAGAGTATTTGTTTTAGATTCATTAGAATATCTTGAATTAGTCAATTAAATTAGGTCCTCTAAAATTAAAAAATCATTGTGCTCTTAAAAGTTGAAAATCTAAAGATTTTTGCTTAAACTTGACGAAAGATGCGAGTGCGAGAGAATGTCTTCCAGGAAAAAAATGCGCATAGACCCATTCTTCTAAAAAGTGCACACAAAACTGTCTATCTATCAGGCAAATGTTAAATACAAGTTTCACATTGACCGAAAAGGAATGAGAATCGTTTATTTCGATTGCAACATTTTTTTTTGTAGATAAAAGTGCGCAAGGACGTCGAAACTAAAAGAAGTCTTTTGCGTATATAGACTTTTGTCACGCACGTCACGTCTCTGTCAAAGCGATCTTCAATTGATTTTGCATAAATTCCTGCTGAACATTTTTTTCCAAAAACTTTTTCAAAGATTGGGTTTCAACATGATTTGTAAGGCTGAAATTTAATTGTAAGAGCTATAAAACATACTACTTCTTAGAAACTAATGGTTCTGCGCACCTTGAAGGTTTCCAAGATTGTGAAGCACTAATCGAATCAGCGGAAATATACAAACTGCAAACTCAATTGTGATCCTGAGTTTTTTCATCAAATTGCAGTCATGCCCATTAATGGAATTCGATAGATGATTTATTGCAACAGATTCTGGCGGAAGATTAATTTGGCCATTTACAGACTACAGAAATAATGATTAGATTCAAATAAAAAAGAATTAAAAATATATTTCTCTAAACTTTTCTTTACCATTAAAATTAGTTTAGTGTTAATCGAATCAGCATTGAAACTCTCCGAATGCCGTCAACCGTCAGTCAAATAACCTTTCGAACCGCTCCTTCCATATATGGCCTTGTTCGCCTTTTGTGGTTATTTTTCGTCATTCTTTATCTCTTCATCACCGCACCTCTGTCTATGTAATTACTTCGTCAAAAGGTGCGCTATCTTTGGACGAATCTGGGTGCAGTTCAACACGCAGCATGGTTAAAAAATCCTTATTTGAGCTGGGAAAAAGCCTCTCTCCCTTCAATTTCTTAGAATTTAAAACCTTGAAGTAGGACGACCACCTGCTATGAATTCGAATTTTCCACATGAGTTCTCCTACGTCGATTTGCATTCGACCGTGGCGTGTGTCGGTCGGCTCTCGAGAGAGAAAGAGAGACTGACTGTTTGACTGTTTGAACGGTCGAGCGTCGCCCAAGAGGTCATCGTCCTCTCCTCCCGAACCCTCTGCCCACATTCCGCTTCACCACCTCAAACTGTAACTTTTACGATTACAACATAAAGAGCTGGTTCTCTTATTCAAACATGCTTTTTGAAGATTATGATATAGAACTAGTTTCCAGCATGTAATTTCAAGCATCTGTCTT